TTTTATTTAGATGAAACATGGATTAACGAGGGACATAAACCAAATAAATTTTGGCAAGATGAAACTGTTACAAGTCGAAGACAGGCTTTTTTAAATAATTTATCTACTGGTTTAAATGCACCATCAGGAAAGGGGCGCAGACTAATAATAGTACACACCGGTAGTTCAAATGGTTTTGTTAAAGGTGGTTTATTGACTTTTGAATCTACTCGTACCGGTGACTACCAAGAGGACATGAATGCTGATGTCTTTAAAGAGTGGTTCGAACAAATTATAGATCTTCCTCAGAACTGTATAATAGTAATGGATAATGCAAGTTATCACTCGAGACTTATAGAAAAAATGTCCACAACCAAGTGGTTAAAAAAAGATTTACAGAATTGGCTAAATTCAAAGAATATTAAGTTCCATCCCGGTTCTGTGAGAAAAGAACTGTATCATTTGTGTTCCCTTCATAAAGAGAAATTCAAAAAATATGAAATTGATGAAATTGCAAAAAATCGTGGGATGACGGTGGTTAGATCACCACCATATCATTTACTGATGAAATGATCGAGTCACTCATTGTAAATTTAATATTGGTTGCGACAGTTCATCTTCTGATTTCGATTCTGATTTGTAGGTAAGAAGTAGTTTTTATATTAAAATTATTATTTATGAACGTAACGATGTTTAAAAGTCAAAGTTTAAACCCTTTTACCTACATAACCCGTTTGATACAATGTTCTTAACATACCTTGTGGAAAAATAAAACATTTTAGAAAAAATTGCACTTTTTTACCTTCAGCTGTTTAGAAGTTATAAGCAGGTTAATTAGGTGAAAATATAAGTGTATATTCGAGGAATAACTTCAAAACATATTTTAACTGTCTAATAAAAGAAGTGATACGCCTATGGATTACGAACGCTTTATTATTTTAATAGTCTCTCATACATAAAAATAGACTATACAAAGGAATTAAATGAGAGATATCCTTCTGGTTATTATTTATTCTTGTGGTTATACGTTAAAACGCACCTCCAACAGGGTATTATTTTTTTACGAGGAAAAGGTATGCTTTGTGCCGCATTCTGACTATGTGGGATTTAATTGGGTACTTGAGAACTACTTTCCCTGAAAATATCAGTTTTCTAAAATCCTTAAACTTGTATTGTTAATACCTACATTTCCTGCAATATTTTTTACTGGTGTATAAGATCATAGATATATAACCAAGACAGATAGGATTATTTACAAAAATTTTGAAGAATGAACGATGGTGTCCGCGGTAGAAACTCAATAATTGGATTGAACATTGATGCCAAGTTTACGTGCTTTTAACTATAGATATATATATATATATATATATATATATATATATATATATATAACCAATACAGATTATACAATTTCTGAAGTCAACGCGGATGATCCTCGACAGAAATGCAATATTTGGATAAAATTAAAATATTGATGCCAAGTTTGCGATGTTTTTAACTGTAGTAATATGTTATTGCGTTTGCTTTAATTACTGTTAGGTCTTTAAATTGTCCAAAAAAAAATAATGTCTGACAACAGCGAAAGTAGAGTAAACCGCAATTGTGGAGGGTCGTATATTGTTTCATTCATAAAAATTCCTTCGATACAGTACTAGTCCAGGTGCCAGTTAATTTTTTCGTACTTGTTTTCCCGGTCCGTGTATATTTAAATAATCTATTCCCGGTGAACTGTATATTTAAAATGGAACGCCAATCTATTAACAAAAGTAAGCCAGATTGAATTCGCGCATTACGTCACATCGATACAAGTAAGATTGTTTACAAAGTGCCTTTGCAGGCCTATTTTGCCCATTTCATGTATTTGTTTTTAAATCATGTTAAATTACTATTTTTGAAACTCAACAAGGAGAAAATCCAATTAACTCTTCCGTTGTGTATATATATATAAGATAAATTAACTGAAGTTTTATTAGTAAAGTATTAATACTAAAATTTTAATGTAATTTACAGAAAATAGCTAGGTATGTATTTGTTTTTAAATAATTTGATAATTTATGAAAAAGGGAGTAAAAGTGGAATAACCAGTGGCCAGTAGGTCAGTCAATACAAAGTATCATATATTTCTATTATAACATAACTAAAATACCTACATCTTTTAATCATAAGGACATACGTTAAAAACCATTTTAATATATGCATTAGAATGAAGTAATAATAACTTAAAGAGACGAGGTCTTGAAGTAATAGCTGGTACAGCATATTTTTTAAACGTTTCCTCATTGCTGCTAGAATGAAATCACTTACTATGAAATGTGCTCTAAAAACGGCATTTATAGCAGTCAGTGTTCAGTCTTAGGATCTCTTCCTAAAGCCCTCATCCAAGCTGCATACATATTAAAAAATAATTTAAAAAAAACATAATATATACCTATATAGTTTTCGATTCTGGGTGCCCTAAAAGAGGACACTTAGCCAACAATTTGGCTCAGATAGCTAAAACCCAAAAGTCACACCCCGAACCAGGACGTATTGCTATCCTTTTAAGTAATAAATAACTACAAATAACTTACCTGAAAAATGAAGGCGGCTAACTTTACACCAAAAAAACCATACACTTTTTCCCATTGTTGTAAGCACCCGATGACGATTAGGTAGATATCAACTAGAAGCATGTACTTAATGGTTATAAAGCTTATTTTAACACAAAAAGAATAAAGCACTAGTCGAAAAGCAGCAATCAAATATAAATAGACCACAATATTAAAATTCAAATTAAAAACTATATAAAAGACAAATACTCTAAAAGCGCAAAAGATCAGAACCAAATAAAATGAATAACCTTAATAACCTAAAAATCACACTAAAATTGCAAAAACTATTACTGTAAAATCATGAGATTACATCAATAATGCATATGCGTCGGAGTATCGCAAATGTCAAAAGTACAATGTTTCCATGAAAATTTAGCTATGTTTTTAGCAGTATTATAGGACCATTTCTACCACGCGCATCCAACGATATTGGCGTTCCACAGTTCACTGTATTTTCCTCACACCTCTAGTATAAATGATTTGACATAACGAAACTAACAATAATTATAATTAATGTAGTGATTCGTGAATTCTAAATAAAACAATTATTATATAAAAGTGTAAAAGGAAATGTAATTTATTTCCCTATTTTCTTCTGTAATATCTTCAATTATTATGTTTAATTTCTATAAATAAATCAACTGGTTAGGTGAAACATTGTGATATAAGATTTTATTTATATGTCCTATGCGTACACTTTAATATACAAAACACCTAGAACATTCTTTAAATAATTGTGGTCGTAGAAATAATTAATAATAATAATAATAATAATAATTTATTTCCCAAATAACAATATACATACAATCTTAAAATTAATTAAATACATGATATAAAAAAAGAAATCACAATAAAGATGAACTTTATTTCACACATATTTATATTGTAGAAAATAAATTGAGGGCAGTACATAACTCGTTTGAAAGTGTGTTTTATGCACTTGCCAAATATATTATCCATACAGATTAATCAGACTATTTTTTTACTTAACTTCAGTACATCTCTTACTACTAAAACTATTTTTATCAATGGAAAAAAGGGGCCATGTTCTCGTATGTTTTGACGCATTTTCGGCCTCAGCCCATCGGATCCCCCTTCTAAATATATATATATAAATAAATAAATCTTTAATTCCAAGAGACCTTGTACAGGTATGGGAAAAGTCAAAACATGGTGTACAATTTAATAAAGTAGAATAGAAAATACAAAGTACTAAAATTCAGAAATAGATACTAAACTTAAAAAAATCTAAAACAAACTTATTTATAAACCAAAATATAATTATAATATTTATGAAGGAGATGATTTATCTACGAATCAAGGAACTCAGAAACAGTATAAAATGCTTTCCTTGAAAATAAGTCCGTTATTTTACGTTTAAAGTATTTAGTACTATTTATTTCTTTAAGGGTCCGATCCAGTTTATTATACAACTTAATTCCTAAAAAATAAGGACTTCTTTCATATAATGTCAAATTGTGAGACGGAATTACTAAAGAATCGCTATTTCTGGTATCATAATCGTGAATATCTGCATTTGTCATAAACATATTTAAATTAGTTTTTACGTATATAAGCAGTTCAACCATATATATACAGGGCAGCGTTAATATTTTTAATTGTTTAAAAATATTTCTACAAGAAGCATATCTAGAAATGCCAGCGATATTTCTGAGACACCGTTTTTGAAGTCTAAAAAGTCTAATTAAATGGGGCGATGATCCCCAAAATATAATACCGTATTTAATTCGGTAGTATACCAAACCATAATAGTAAGAAATTAGAATTTTTTCATTGCATAATTGTTTAAGACGTATCAATGCATAACAAGAGGAACACACTTTTTGTGAATATGAATTTTGCTTAGAATTGCTAATCCTACAATTCTTTATTCGTGCTTGCTGACTGGGAAAATAAATACCGAAAATCGTCACTGTCTCCTGGACTATACAATAGATGATGATGAGAAGGAACTTCACAACAAATACACTTTTATGAATGGCTAGTTGGGGATGTGTATAAGATGCACCAACGATGTATTTGTATGGGTACGTACTAATTACTATACGTACTGATATTTCAGTGCGTGTGTAGTCAAAAGGTTATTAAAATGAGTAAAAACACATGAAAACGTTCTAAATTTATATAAAAAACATACCTATTTTCTTTATTAATACATTATGTACGAGTATTAGGTCATTAAGGACCGATTTCACCGTTGTGTTAAACGAAGTTTAAATTACCTACTAAGCAAAGATTAAAATAACATTGTTAATGTAAAAATATCATTTTAATCTTCAATTATTACTTTAAACTTCGTTTAACACAACGGTGGAATCGGCCCTTAGATATTAATAATCTCTGTTCTTGTATAAAAATAACTAAGTATCTTTAAATGTAACTATACGATAGATATGCAGGTTGGCGTACCTATTACCTCTTCTACGTACGAAAAAGACGACAGGATGTACAGTATAATAATAGACACGAAATAGGAAATCGAAGAAATTTATGAAAGTTCCACCTATATTGTTAATAGCACGATCCGTAGAGTGAACTCAGTTCTTTGGGAGTCTCCGTAATTTCCGAATGGACAAGGTCTCTTGAGCACATGGCATGAAAAAAAAAAAACAACAAACGCCAACAACAGATACACAAATAATAATGAATACAAAAGTTAGTTTACCGTGCCTTCTCGCAGGTAATGGTAGGTACCCAGCACCGACTAAATGACATTGAAATGATCATTATGATGGTAGAAACTTCTACGAAACGGATATAAAAATGAAATAATTAACACAATTGTGGATCTATTAAATGTGCATTTGTAATTTGTGAAAAAATGAAGATAATTCCGGCTTATTAAAGGTAAATATTTCACATTTTTATACTTAAAAGTAAATCAAAACGTTTTAACAAAAGGTTTACAGGTACTATCCCAACTTTTAAGGATTATTGTTTATTTCCTTTTGTTATATTTCAACTACAAATTTCGTTTTGCATTGTGTTTAATACAAAATAATTTAGAGTTAACTCAAAATCAATGAAAATATAACACTTTATCCCTATTTTATTTTTTGAAGCAAAAGAAAAGTACCTAAAAGATACTTTTTATTTCATCTATAGAGATTAAAAAAATTCTTGATAGTTTCGGCCTTTACTTGAAGAAAAATCCGTATTATTAAAATAAGAAAAACAAAACATGGTAGATTTTCACCAACACCTTTATTTAAAGAATTAAAATTAAAAATTACACGACAAATGTGACTAATTTACATTTCAATGTCTTATATACAAAATAAACTTATTAGTTAAAGTACTTCTTTTTTTTTATTATGTATTTATACCTACTTATATGTTTCACTATATTTTAAAATGTAATAAGGTATTGCGTTTACACAAATTAATTTAAGACATTTTTTTAAATGAGATTTTCCTATAGATAGGGAATTATTAAAATAATTATTTTATTAAAATGAGAAAAACCAAACATGGTAAATTTTCACACACACTTTTATTTAAAAAATTAAAAATTAGACGACAATTGTTTCGAAGTACAACTTCTTCAAATATGTGACTAATTTATATACAGGGTGTCCCATTAGTGCGTAATTGTTCAATATTTCAATTTGTATTATTAACACGCAAACAAATTTTAAATAAAAGTTATATGGATTTAAAATATGCGTATTTTAAAAATATTTTTGGATATATAGGGTGTTTTTTTATGAAATCATAATTTAGGTAGGGTATACAATGATTTCAAAATTGTTTAAAATGCAAATGCAGACTTATAAGATACTAAGCTTACTAATAGTAATGATATAACTGGTTTACTTTATACATGTCTTAAATACGGCTAATTTTAAATTCAATTTACTCAATTTTTTCAAATACAACACCCTTTATATTATTTTGATATAAATATCCTTATACATTTATCTATCCAACGATACCAACATATTATAACACATATACAGGGTGTTTGTCATGTGAATATAAAAAAAATGAAGCATCAGAAATAACTAAATACTTAACATATATTTTTGGGTTACCATTTTTACCCCCAGAGGATGTAGGTGATTGTTTTGGTATTGATTTTGACTCAATTTTACCACAAAATGAGCTAGTTATTATTATGTTTTCTTATTAATTTTCCACCCCAAGTGTGGGTTGAACACTCATCATTAGAGCTTGGATTATATGCAAAATGCATATAAAGTGCATGCCTGCATGTTTAGTGTAGAATTTTATATTGCATATCTAAAATAATAATGCATATCTAAAAATAAAATATTGCTTATTTATCATTATTTTGTCAACATTACAATATTTTTCAATTGTACCTGCATTTTACCATGAAATATTAACTTACTGGGTATTTTGCTTTCTAAACTACTAGGTATTAAGGATTAGGGCAATTAGGGGATGACTGATAGCAAATGGCTTCATAAAATTTATCTGTTTTTGTGTAACAGGTAGTTCATTTAGTATTATTCAAAATTTCTTTTGATTAAGTATTGTTATTGCGACAAAATTTTAACGAAATTAAAGATGTCATTTGCGACTCGATCGCAAATAAAAAATGCATCGATATTTTTAACGATCCTATAGTTTATAGCCATATTGTCCACATTCAAGCAAATTATATATGCATAGCCACAGCCATAACTAAGCTTGAATCTCGAGGTATGGCATTATTTTAAAGCAAACAAACAGTTAAAAATTTTAAATCTTTTATTAAACAGTCTGTGTTAATGGAAAATAATGTTACACGAAAATTTACATCAGTTTTACTAAATAATAAAGGATTTCAGGCATTAGAGGGCATAAATAATATTTTATCTGGCAACTTTAATAATGAATTAGATTCAAATATTTCACCACTTTTAATTTCAAAATTTAAATATGATCTTATAACGTCTTGTGAAGTGGAACGTTCATTTTCGGCGTACAAACATTTTTTAAGTGATAGAAGGCAATGTTTCACTATTGAAAACATTGAAAAATATTTAATAACTTACTGTTTTCATTCTAATAATAATAATAATAATGAATTAGATGTAATTGATGGAAATGTAAAATCATCTAATCATATGTTTAAAAAGTCTATAATAAAATTTAAATATCAAAACTGACTCTTTTTATTTTGCATATTTAAAAGCATATTTTGTCTATTGTTAACGCATAAATACATACATATTTAGACCATTTTTAAGTGCATATTTTCCAAGCCCTACTCATCATCTACTCAGCACACGTCTAATGCGTGCAAATCTTTTCATAATCAGTTTAATTCATCCTTTTAATCAATCAGCCCACCCAAATATTCACCAATTTATGAAAGTGTTATTAGATTTTCAACTGGAAACCTATGTAAATATAAATAGTGTTACCAGCGTTATAAAAGTAGAAAGCCAAAAAACTAAAAAGGCAGTTTATTGATGCAAAAATTCAGGAACTACGAGAAAATAAGATAGACAAATTTGAATTTGTTAAAAAGATATCGTATCGTTTTAAAGGCAAAAATGATTGATATAATTATATTTTTGGGTTGATTTTTAGTTTTAATTAGTTAGTACTGTTTTTATAAGTAATAATGAATTCAAAAAGTTTGTTTTGTACTCCTACATACGTCACTAGATTTTCTTAGAAATTGGGAAGTGCGGCAACAAGGCCAAACTTTTCCGTTTTCAACATATCGTTTTCGGACATAAGTTAACCCACGCCTTTTTAAAGGCAGATAAGTGGTTATGATTTGGGATCCATCCGTGCGGACTGATGCTTTTACGTAAATGAGTACCATGTTATTTAATTAAATATTACTAGTTTTAACAGTTTGCGATTTGATTCCTAGAGCATCCTTAAATAGTTGTACCAATCGCCAGACTTCAATCGTAGCTCCTCCAATAAATTTGTATGCGACAGCATACTGTGTTTAAGTAACCAGCCTTCAGTCCATTTGCTGCGAGGTTTTTTTTTCGCAATCTGTTTCCTTATTCTTAGTCAAAGCCGCCGCCACTGCTAACAAGCACGTACTCATCATGATAAACCGTCGATTAAAAATGGCACAGAAGAACGAGGTGTATGGGGGCCCTTACGGCACACTGAGTTGCTGCTTCGCTTACATCAAAATTCTGGGTGAGGTGTGATAATTCAACGATACGTCCGGTATATATTATTCATTTGTTTTTAATCTACCTCTATTGAGCGGTTAATTAATGACGACTTCCAACGCAATTTTGATTTTAGTGAACTAATAGTTTAACGAATTTAGTTTTTAAAATAAATTTTAGATAGGTACATTATACGATGAATTTTTACTTTCCCTGTATACATATATAAGGAAAGTATAGGAATCATGATTTTTTCGACCTCAAGTTTTCGATGGATTTTTACGTTTTGAGGTCCCCTGAATCCGTTTTGACTATTTTCGCGATGATGTATGTGTGTGGGTGTGTCTGTATCCACCATAACTCATGAACCGATACACAGAAAAACACCAAATTTTAAACTTAAGCTTTATTCCAGCGTCTAATGAACTGATTAGATTTTGGGCAGAGTCGGAACATCTGGGGGGGTACTTTATAGGTGGTCATTTTTATACTTTATGGAATATATCTGTTATTTACGTTTGGAGAAAAAAATTCTTCAGATAATACTTCTAATATAATTATCTATAATTTTTGTTCTATACAAAATTTTCCTAAAATGGTCCGTATTCGAGAAATTTGACAAAATGTAAAAAAAATATTTTTTTATAAAAATTGTTCAAATAAAAGTTGTTTGTAATATAATTCCCTATAATTTTTATTCTATACATAATTTCTCTAAAATGGACCGTATTCGAGACATTTGAGAAAATGTGTAAATTTCGAATTTTGAAGAAAACTCAAAAACAGATAAAGAAAAAAACATTAAATTTTAAACTTAAGGTTTATTTCGGCCTGACGTGAAATGATTAGATTTTGGACAAAGTCGGAACATCTAGGGGGGTACTTTATGGGAGGCCGTTTTTATATTTTATGAAATATATCTGTTATTTATGTTTGGAGAAGAAAATTGTTCAAATAAAAGTTACTTCTAATATAATTATCTATAATTTTTGTTTTATGTCAAAATTTCCTGAAATGGTCCGTATTCGAGAAATTTGACAAAATGTGCAAAATTCTGATTTTTATGAAAATCGTTGAACTAAAAGTTGTTTGCGTTATAGATCTCTATAATTTTTGTTTATATATGATTTTTCTAAAATGGACCGTAAAGGAAAAATTGTAGAAAAAGTGCTAAATTTAAATTTTTCAGTATTTTCGTTTTCAATGAATATCTATAGAAAAATGTTTCGAGGTAGATGTATGTGGACAATGTATATATTTAGTTTATCCTCTAAACATTTATAGAAATGCTGCAATAGGTTGTACAAAATAACCGGAAAAAGCCTATAATAACTAGATAGGAAAGTCATGTGTTGGACACATCAGATTTTTCTTATTGAAAATTTGAATTTCTGGGACATTTTTGTATAAGAAGCGTGTATTGAAAATTTTCTGTCAGTAACATATTAAAAAAAATATTTCCAATATGGTGGTCATTTTGACAACTGACGGAAATTTTCAACACATGATTCTTATCCATAAATGTCCCTGAAATTCAAATTTTCAATAAAAACGGGGGTTTCTATTTAAAAATTAAAAATAAATTAAGATTTTCTTTTTTCTCTACTAAAAACATCGATAATAGAAAAAATAATTTATTTTTCAGCCAGTGCGTGACAGCAGCGCCAACTATTTTATGAAATAACGGACGATATTTGCGTATACTGACAATACAATTTTTAATAGAGTTTGTAATTAAAAAATATATATGTT